ACGGACGTAGGCGGAAACATGATATTATTATTTATGGACCAATCAGAATACAGCAGTTACTATATTTGATTTTGGAGCCTATATGTGTATAGTTTGGATAGGTTTGAGTTAAAACAATAGATTTAGAAGTCTACTTCTACAACGCATTAGAACAGAAAAAATTGTTAGACAAACAAGTTAACCAGTAATTTTGCTGTGTGATATTACTCGCTCACAATTTGTAAATCCAATGAAGCAGCTGTAATAGGAAGTTCTTGTGTATGTGGCATATTTTACAGACCTATTACATTGTATTGTTTCACTTCATACAGCATTCCTTATGAAGAAATTGCGGAATTACCACCACTTGTCTGCCAAGGGACTTCTGCTAACGGCTGTTAGGTGGCGTTGCTAAAAATCATTATAAAATAAAAAGAGGCAGAGTATCCCTCATCTTTCTCTTTTCGGATGTCTTGGAAATAGAACGTTTCTCTAGAGAGGGTGTGCTTTTGGCCACTAGTAAAGCTAATGTTTCACTGAGCACAACACAGAAAGTAGACAGCATACAGCAATCGAAATTTATTTGGCTATAAACAAGCATATTTAATTCTAAAAAAACTAAAAACGAACTCTTTTCGCATGTATGTTTAAAAAATTAAGATTCTTTTCCAAGTGTTCCAAGAAGTAAGACTCAAGATAAACGTTTCCAAAACAGAAACTATGGTCTGGAATTAGAATGAAAGCAGTGATGGCACCGGCCCTGAATCCATCATAAAAATTCAGAATCTGGATTGAATAAATACTAAGCACTTCGAATGCGTTCGTGTATGAATCAGTAACAATAACAGTATAGGAGAGGTAAATTAAACCTAGAATAAGCTGCACTACGGGTAAGACACTGGGGGCCCAGGGAATTCATCAGAAGAAAGAAAAAGGAAGAGGAAAAGACTACTAATTGGATGATAATTGTTGAAATTCTCAGGAAAGTTGATTGAAAATTTGAGAAGAAAATTAAAAACGAAATGCGGTAAAAATTATGATTCATCAATATAAAGTTAAATCAGGAACAGTTCCAATGAGAATCGAACCCAAATTTAACTAGACGGAATTCAGTAAGCAATACCAAGACTACCAGTCCTTCCCCACTTCCCGCCGACAAGAAAGAGACAATGTATCATCTAAGATGTCGGTCCTGGAAAATAGAAAAACATATGCTGTAGTTAAAGAAAACGGATGGTCACCGAAATAACATCTGAATTGTTCTGGACAAAGAGCCAGGAAAAACATCTGGTTTGTGTCGGCCACCCGGAAGAAAAATAAAGATTACCACCTGGTTCATTTATTTTATTTCTATGACATTCGTCAACCTTTTTATAGCCGACATTTTTTTGGAGACAAGCTGATAAAGAAATATTAATTACTATCCATGAGTGATCATAGGCAACAGGCTGTGTGGTCTTGTTGACCAAGGATCACATAAACAGAGAAAGATAATTTTATTATTATTAAAGATGCCGGGAATATTTTTCTTTCCTTTACTTTCCCACCCATGAAAACTGGATGAACAAAACAATTCTTGAGATTGGATGGTAGGGAGTCATCCGGACTGGCTCCAATCTTACACAAGGTCCCTGTTTTTTTTTTTTTAAATCACAGAAAACAACCAGCGTGAGACAATCTGATAAAGAAAGATTAATTACTGGCAATCCCCTTTTCACCTACGCATTCAAAAAATTTGTATTCGTCACACAGAAAGTTGTACCAGCCTTTGGAAATGACCTGAGGTTGGATGCTGAGAATGTAGGAGAAGAGACAGAGAGATTAGCACCGCCTATATGGAATGACGGTGCGAAATGAGAAGTAAAGAGAGTTGGAGTTAAGGGGCGGCTTGAATCCTCTGACCATTCTCAAAAGTGGGCTGGACAACTCCTAAATTTGGAAAATTAATCGAGTAAACATATTTTGAAAATATGGAATTTTAGAAAAAAGTTATTGTTAAGGGTGAGAGATAACTGAACCCCAAATTCTAGTCAACCCCACACCTGCTAGACGCTTGACTCTATATGAGCTGGAGATTTGGGCAACTTAAAGAGTCCCCAACATTAATTCTACTGGAATCTAACTCGTTCGCCAAGACCTCCTGACCAAGATCGTGTGCGAGCTCTGAAGATCAGAACTTAGAAATTTAAATTACTACTAACACATGCTGCAAACTCCAAAAGGATTCCCAGTGTCATTTGATTATAACAGAATGAGGAAAAGTTAAAACTGCTTTATACAACAAATCATATATAAACCAAATCGTTGTTACATTTTTAACCCGATTTAATTCTTTATTCCAAAGGATTCTTTTTTCTGTAGCGCCTCGCCGTCGACACGTTCTTCACTTCAGTTTACTTCATCAGCAATCTTTTCACTCTCTGAGATCAAAAACACAATGTGGCAGAGGAGTGAATGGTCGTGAAGCAGACGAACCCCAGCTAGATCTAGTCGAGCCATGCTCATCATCACAATACCAGCGACAAACAAGCAACGCGTTAACGAGTGAGGAGTCAGCTAGATGGTAACTACGGTGGACTGAAGGAACCTGGAGACCAATGCGGTGAGAGACTGGGTTTCAGGGATAATTTTGCCTTAAACCGTAAATTACTACAATACCAAAACATTAACCTAAAATCTCGAGTCATGTTCTTAAGTAGCCTGGTAAAATCAAGACTTTCATATGAATATCACGCATGGTGCTAAAATTCGTTCGGAAATATCTAAACTGTCAGCTTTTTTACATCAATGGTTAAAAATGGCATCGAATGAATAAAGCATGTAGGTATTAGCGTAGACCATCCTTATTCGAACCTCGTAGACTGGCGCTACAGCATCACTAAGAATTGTACTAAATAACAGAATCCACTTCACTTGATGACTTTCAACTACGACAACAGAAAAATGGATAGCATATGTAAATCGAAAAGAAGATAATGACATAATCAAGATGTTGACACTCCACACCACTTCAAACAAAAGGTTAGGAAGGAAACCCCCATTAATAATGGAAAGTGTAATAACAGTGACTCGAGAAACCTATTTTCCTGAATAATTTTTTTTAAGTGAAAGACATTTTAAATTTTCACTTACTATAGTAATGGTTGTTCGGTCAATGACTGTCGAATGTTTTGTTTATTAAGAATGTTTCCTTATAAGGAAATGGCTCATATTACCATTACACACCGTACGTACGGGTAAAACGTTTCTATATTAACACCAACTTTTATCTCTTTTTATATTCTTTATATTATTTTACTAAAGAAATAAAGGTGTTCTTGTCTTACGCCCACATAGGGTGAAATAAAGGTTCCTGTACGGTCACCGAAGTCAAGCAACGCCGAGCCTGGTCGATGGGTGAACACTTGGGAATACAAGGTGCTGTAGGCTCGGAGTGAGGGTGGTGTACTGGATAATGGTTCGGAATTTTTAATCGCAGAGCAGAGTTCCAATTCCTGTTATGTTCTTTAAATTCCCTTATGCGCAAATACCCCTGGGAAAGGCATGAATCCACCTCTTCTCCCTGTAGATATGGGTTAATTAGTAAGATTTCTATCACTAAATAATTATTATCTCCAAAACAAAAAAAAAATCTTAGAATCTAAAAATATTTTCTGGTTTTAAATAACCTGCAAAGGGTTGATAAGCAGTAAAGAATTAATCAATGAATCAATTGAATATTTAATACTTTGCAGAAAAATATATTTCTCTTTAGACAAATGTATAAATTTCAAAACTCATGGCTAAGTCGCTCTCTGATTGTAATTATATATATCTTTTTTTGTTTTCATTTTCTTTAAAAATTCTTTCGTTTTTTTTTTTTTTTATGTGCTCTGTCGATGGCGTTATCATCATCCTTTTGTAGAACCACATCTCCATTGCTTCAAATCTCCTTCCAATTTTATAGGCAGAGCCACACAAAAACATGCTGGGATTTTTTCCTAACCAATAAGATAGGCCGATTCTCAGTTTCATCTGACTCAGTCCCGGTCTGTCTTGTCTTGAAATCAGAACGTTAAGTTTGCTTGTTTGAACTTGCTTTTGTGTGTCCTCACCAATTCTTAGTTTGTGAACTTTTTTTGCTGTTGCTTTGCCTTATTACCGTTAATTTGCCTTGCATATATTGTTTGCTTGTTTTGTTTTTTTCCCTGTTTTTCTTTTCTTTAACTTGTTATTACTTATTGCAAACTTTGTCAATTCTGTTTGTTGGGCAGTTCTGTTACTTAATTTGCATTTGACCATGGCTACTTACTCCACACATTGTCAACTTGCCAACAAGACTTACAACATAAAAGTTCAGCGCTCGTTTCTTTTATTTCCCGTTTCTTAATACATTGCTGAGTTTTTGGGAGATATATTTTACTATTCCAATGGACCTTTGGATTTCGGTGTAACGTTTTCCAACCGCTGCTAAAACACTTCACAGATATTTGAACTAAAAAAAAACAAAAAAACGGTGATTAATTACTATGTAATATTTAATTTTAGATCCTCTATAAATATTAGATAATCTCTTCACAGATGAAGAAGAGAATTGAAGCGGCAGAGATGTCGTTTCCCTGACCAATGTTGAGAATAACATGAACAGAGCATGTCAACAATGGGGAAGATTTAAGATGAATACATGAAAATTGCGGTTAATAACCAGAAACAGGTAACTGAAATTTCTGAGAACCATAATGATTTGGTTGGTTGTTTCTGTTTCGCAGTATATCAATATCTCTGTGGGTTATTTAATGCCGAAATCGAAATATTTTGTACGCAATTTTCTTTTTTCTTTTGAGATACTAATAGTTTTAGAGAGACAAGACTTAATAATTTACCCATATATGGGGGAGAAGTGGATTCATACCATTTCGAAGGGTGTTTGCGAGTAAGTGACTATAACGAAGCCAACTGGAATTGGAACTCAACTCTACGATTACCATTTCCGAGCCATTATTCATTACGCCCCCCCCCCAGCAGATCAAAGCTTAAAGTAACTAGTATTCCCAAGTGGTCACCCATCTGGGTACTGACCAAGCTCGACGTTGTTTAACTTCTGTGATCGTACGGGAACCGGATTTTAACGTGATGTATCCTTAAGCCCGACACATAATGAGGAAAGAAGGTTTGGAGAAACTACCTTGTATATATGTATATTTATAATATATGCGTGTGTATATCCGTACATGCGTACGTGCGTACCTGTGTGTGTGTGTGTGTGTGTGTGTGTGTGTGTGTGTGTGTGTGTGTGCACTCATCGGTGAATTTATTAGCTATACTTTTCGGGGTGCAGAATTAATTTCAACTCGGAACTAATTTCAACTCGGAACTAATTTCAATTTGGTCAACTCGGGACTAATTTTATTTGCATAAAAAAAGAACGAAAGTTGTAGAAAAAATGAATTCTGAATTATCTTATCTACTAAGGATTTTTAATATTAAATTTTAAAAAAAAGAACACCAACTCGTTTTATTTTGTTTAGGAATTCACGGAAATTGATAAGATTGATTTTAAATCGAGTTGAAATTAGTTCCGAGTTGAAATTAGTTCTGTCACTCTACTTTTCTAGTATCGCGTTACATCCTCCATTGGCCTTCAGAACCATTTTTTTCTTGGCATGAATTCTACTATGTTCTGGAAGTACTCTTTTGAAATTTGCATCTATGCTATTACTATGGCATCTCGTAATTCTTGTGTTGCTTTGGCCACCACAGAATGACCGACGTCATATACTGAGGCATGTGGTCAGCCAGAATACCTAAGTAGGCTGCAGTATTTAAACGATCTTTTATTGGTAGGGTCCCAATGTATGCCACTAAAAACATTCCCCATACCATTACACCACTACCAGTTTCAAGTGTTGATATAAGGTAGGATGGGTTCATACATGTTCTTTACACCAAATTCCGTCCTTGCCATTTGATTGTTGCAGAAGAAATCGAGACTCATTTAACTAGGCGACATTTTGCCAGTCTTCTATTGTCCAAATTTTTATGATCCTTAGCGAATTCTCGTCTCAGGTTCTTCTTATCCGACAGCTGCCGTGTTACTCTGCTGCTGTAGCTCGTCTGTTTCAAGGTTCAACATGTTTTACGTTAAGAAATACTCGTCTGTATAATTCCATTGTAAAGAGTGCTTATTTGAACTATTGTTGTCTTTTTATCAGCTTGAGTCTGTCTAGCCATTCTCCTCCGTCAAGAGATTTACTTCCACATAATTGTCGTTCACTGGATATTTTTTCATTTTCTGACCAATCTCTGTAAAACCCTAAAGGGTAGGTCAGTATTTTTTAAATACAGAGTGCGATAGATAAATTGTGTTGTGTTTGAGGCTCTGTGGGAAGATGAATGGAGGCATAACGTCGCCATCACTAGTGATCACTACAAACACCTTTGTAATCCCCATTAGACTCTCCACCTCTTTCCGAATCCTCTGCACTGATTGACACCCAAACCCTCTGAAATGTTCGTATTGGAGCTTCCGGTGCGAATGCCAAGCAGCACAGCATGCCATTTCCAATTTTCTGGCGGAGTTAATTGCGTCATGGTGCTGTTTTTCTTATAGACGGTGCCCAACTGACCCGACTATACTGTGCAGTCGACAAAAAAAAAAAACAAACAACGCGCATGCGCCAAATTAAAAATATAAAATAGTGACAATTTACCTATCGTACCCTGTTTAACTGCCTATATACATTAAATTGTTGCAACGTCATTGGCTGATGGGAAATTTACATAAAAGAGCATTTTTGTCTGGATTTCTGGGATAAGGAGTTAGCATTGTTTTTATCATTTATTAATTTATTTATCTGTTGTCCTCATCTTTATTGTTATCACAACGTTTCTAGAATCTTTACTGCTGATAAACCATATATTTTAAATCAGAAACTTTTATTCTACAATACGTACAAAAATAAATCAATAAAAACATCCTTCAAAACAGTGAAAATAATGTAAATTAATTGCACTGCAATTTCTGTCTGAATTTCTAGGATAAGAATGGATTAATTTGTGTTTTACGGTTTATCAGCCCTTTGTAGGTTATTTAAAGTCGAAACATGTTTTGGATTGTAAAAGAATGTTTTGTTTTCACGAGTGAATATTGATTCATTCATTTATATTTTACGGTTTATCAACCCTTTGTAGATTATTTAAAGCCGAAACATTTTGGATTGTAAAAAGAATTCATTTTTTTTTCGCGAATGAATACTGATTGATCGATTTGTTTTTTACGGTTTATCAACCCATTAGGGAACCTACAGCATTTCAATCTGAAAACTTCCAACTGAACAATTATTTAATCTACCGGGGATTTCATTATCCTCGCTGTGTGCATGCGATAACAACAACAATGATGTCTATATGTCTTAGATGAGGTATTATGTACACTGTTTACATTATTCGGGTCGTCCGCTGCTTACAACACCGAGCAAAAGTCATAAGTGGCGACCCAGGGACATTACATAAAGAATTGGTCTGTATAAGCAGTACCCTACAACGAAACAACTACCCTGGGTACATGGCAGCAGCCCCAATATGCTGGGATAGGCGGGTACAAGAGGGGGACAACAACGCTCAGAAAACAGTTTGCCTGCCTTATGTGAAGGGGTTATCGGAGAAAATACAAAGGATCTGCGGTCCTTATACCATCAGGACAACCTTCAAAAGCTGGACGACACTTCGCAGATACCTCTTCCGAGTAAGACCCCCACTCCCCATAGAGGAGAACATGACTAAAGACTGTGTGTACACCATACCGTGCAGCTGCGGAAAGAAATATAAAGGGGCGACCGGCCGCCCCCTCAAGGAAAGGCTTCAAAAACACCAAAAAGCTGTAACACGAGGGGAAGTGGAAAAATCAGGCGTGGCTGACCACATATAGAGAGAAAAGGGAGATCACCACCCCCTGTGAGATCAGGTTGAAATCATAGACAAAGAACATCATTGGAAAATTCGTAAACTTAAGGAATCAGCACATGCTAGGCTACAAAATTCTCCTGAGCCGACCAAGCATAGAAATGAATATGGGAACCAGTAATGCCAGAGAAAAGGAATAATAATAACGAAAATTGCAATATGAGCTCTGGTAAAAACATGTAATGATAACAGCAAAAATTGCAACAAAGATGAGGACAATAGTCCGAATAATGTAAATAGTGAATAACAAAGATGACGAAAATGGTCCACATGCAAACAATGTAAATAAAATAGCAATTTGTTGTGGTGGACATAATTCAGTGGCCAGTTAGAGCATATCAACTGAAAAAGTTAACGAATGTAAATCTTCGTATTTGATTGTGGAATTTTTTTACACCTAGACAAAAAGTAAGAATCTCCACCTATAAATATGTCATTTTTTGGTAACGAACAAAGCTCGCAACCTCCATGTCTTAACCCTTTGAACCCTTTGTTCCTGAACAATTTTACCCCTTCTGCCTGAGCTCTTGAGTCAAAATTCGCAAATAATTGGTATGTAATGCTTCACGGTAGATATAGTTACAAGTGTTTACCCACCGTTCAACCGGTAGCTGAGTATTAAGTCATTTTTCTACCACCGATAAAGCGGTGGTCAGGACTTAAAGGGTTAAGATTTTTCAAATACAAATATTTGCTTCCTGCCAAGTTTCTAAGTTCAGATTTTGATTACCGTGACGACCATGACGTTTATAATCTTAAGAAGACTCATCAAATCAAGTGATGTTTGGCCGATTAAGGTCATTCTTTGAATTGTCTTTTTTGTTTTTTACAACATTTAACCTGATTTATTTTAAGCTGATCCATTTTAAAAGTCTTCTTTCTGTATACAATCCATGAAGGAATGGTTGGCAAGCTGGTCTCACAGATCATTACTGATGAAATGATTTCGTTCTTTGCCAGGTGCCCCACGGTTGGGTCTGATTACACTAAGCTTAAGAGTACGCTTTGCTCATCCCACTGATGCAACTAAAAATTCTGAACAGCTGTGTAATATCTTAGCTAAACACGGACGATTTCCTCAAAGATAAAGAAGAGACTCGAGACGACGGAGATGTGGTTCTACAGAAGGATGCTAAGGATATCATGGACCGAGCAGGGTCTAAGATGCTGCACAGTTATTCATTTTTGTACATGGATTGGATGAGAATTTTCGCATCACCAAAGAATTGCTGTTGCAAGAAACGATGAAAAATACAACAACCGGCCAGGATTTGTATGAATGTGTGGTCGATGCAATTGGAAAAAAAAAGTGCATTATCAAGGGATCGATTGAAAAGCATAGCAACAGACGGGCATTACGCGGGAAAAATGTGGGGATGATTAAACACCTAGAAGACAAGATTATAAAAGACAGTCCTAAGCAAGCCTGTGTAAATCTGTACTTAACCTGAAGCATGTGATGGATCCAGTGGTGAGTGAAGTAAACACCATCATGACAAGAGTACTCAATCACAGAAGATACAAATCCTTACTGGAGGATATGTACGATGGTTCAGTCTTGGCAAAGTGCCGAAGCGAGTGTGGGACTTAAGAAAAGAAATTCTTCTCTTTCTAGATATGAAAGGGATTGTTTGTGAATTTGTTACTAAAATGGACTGTGATGAGTGGAATTATGAACTTATGTTAGCAGCTGATATTTTTTAAAAGTTGAATGAGCTAAATGTGAAATTGCAAGGAAAAGGAACATCTGGCTCATGAAATGTATAAACATGCCAAATTTTTTCAAGGAAAATTATCTTTGTTTTCAAGGCAAGCAACTGAGGGCAAGCTGTTCCATTTTTCATTGTTGGGAAAGGAGAAAGTGTCTGCAAATGTGTCATATAGGAAGAAAACGAGTAACTACCGACACCGAGGTTCGAGCGTGACACTCTAGACTTAAGAATATATGTTTTCTGCCAGGTGTATAAGTAGCGGTGTCAGGCTACTGACTGGGGTGATTATTGAGTGATTATTGAGTAACCGCTGAGTGGAACTATCCAGTCGAATTAGTGTGAATCATTGTGCATCGATGATTTGGGTTTTGGTTTAGAATTTACCAGACGTTAAACCGATCCGCTCTACTAACAAGGTATTCATTGAAATGGTTAATTATCTTTGGTTGACTTT